AGCACCATGCTGGTCTGTTCGCGCATCGGAACATATGCTTTGCCTTTCCGAACTAGGACTGTGCGATGCTCGACCAGTTCTGGCACCCTAGTCCAATCCACTTTGAACCAGTTCTCTCCTTCGAGGCGTCGGAGGCCCGGCGTAGCGGACAGAAGTTGCTCACCCAAGGCTCTCTTTTCTTCCTCTTGGACCACTTCCCAGTCCATGTTTAAGCTCTCGACAAATGCTTGACGTTCCCGTGTGTCGTCAGACTGAAAGCGGAGTCGGAACAGCATGGTCTCGACTCTGGCGAAGCGTCTGCGGAGGTCTTCTGTTCTGGAAAAGGCAAGTCGGAGAATATAATGGGAGTAATGGTCCTTGCGTCTTTGATTCTTCAATTTTTGGTCGACAATGCCGCCGGCAGCTGCTGAGTTGGAGGAGAGCGGGAGGTATTTTTTGAGCAAAGGTTCAAGGTGCGCTGACGTCTCTTCCGGCGATTTATTTCTGAACGAGCAAGCCTCGATCTCCGCCAGTACTGGTGCCCGGTCAGTGACAATATATTCTATTAATTTGCTGTCAACATACTCCTCAGCCTGTCGATAGCCCATATCTCGAATTCCTCCAGGCTGATTTCCTGCGTGGGAGGAACATCGTAGAAAGACAGTCGGTAGGGATAGTCGTTCTCTCTATAGGATGCCGTAGCAAACTGAGTCTTCTTGTGGTCGATGCGTTTCCGCTTTGGATCGAATCGTGGCTCTGACCGCATCATTTCGTCTGTTTGCTAGGTGGTCGAGATGTGGCAAAGGTGATGTTGGAGGATGTGAAGATGCAATGAGCGCGGGGGAAGAAGACGCGTTGAGACTCGCGGATTTCGACTTGACGCGTCGCGAGGCTGCACATGGCATTAGACCTTATGGGGCGCCCCGGGATCGGAAAATCTTTCATGCCCACGTCAGTACAAGCAACCTGCGGTGCCTGGCCTGAGCTGTTACTCCCCATCCTGGGTATTTTCGAGTACTCGGCAGTAGCTAACTACCGAGTAGACCCAAGAGCCTTGACCCATCTCGACGAAGCCTTATCATCAACATTCTGAACTGTATCAAGAAGAGTCCCTCGTGTCCGCCGCTACCATTGGTACATAAGTCCTTTGCACCAAGTGCGGATTTACATACCCGGTGACTTGAATGATCGGCTCTGCGGCAACACAATATTGGGTGAGCAGAAACTTCTTATCGGTGCATTACGGCCCGAGTCTTCAAATTTATTGGGCGTTTCCCCCACGATGCCAACTTCTTCAGCTTACTCAACCAAATTTCGGCCTCCATCGTTGGGTGCGTAGGTGCCTCACTTACCTACCTAGGTAGTTCAGGTTCTCCTCTTTCTGAAAGCTGCGCTGCGGCACTCTTTTTTGTTGTTCTCCTCTCTCTGGAGGCACATTATCCTGGTGTGCCAACGACATCTGCTTTGGTCTTCTCTCTTTTCCGTTTACTGCGATAGCAACTCTTACCTCCCCCTCTAGGCGACATGACGGACACTTGATACGGGCGGCACTGCCCTATCAGGTGCGCCCAGATTCACGCGTCCGTCGTCCGTTCCCTTCCCGTTCATATTACAATGACTTTCGCAACCGCCCCTCGGAAGCTGAAACGAGCTGCGAGGATCATTTTAGTTGGCGCTCCAGGAGTTGGAAAAGGCACACAATCTGAAAGACTCATGAAACGCTTCCCACAACTATGCTCGATTGCGACTGGAGATCTGCTACGCGAAAATGTCAAACGGCAGAGTGCGCTGGGTAGCTATATACCTGGCCTTTGTTCTAATCTACGGCTGCTAATTAGACCGATGTAGGCCAGCAAGCCGAAGCCTATATGAAAGCTGGTGGCCTTGTGCCTGACCCCTTGATCCTCAATCTCATCCTCAACGAACTCACCTCGAGAAAGTGGCTTGACACATCCGACTCTAATGAGAATATAATCGCAGCTCTCGGCAGGGGAAATGGCTCTGCCTCTGCGGTTGTCCGCGCATCCAATTCGCCCGACACCTCGTTCATCCTTGATGGCTTTCCCCGTACTGCTACTCAAGCCAGAGCTCTGTCCCACCTGTTACCCATCAACCTGGTGTTCCAACTCGTCACACCCGTCGAAATAATCTTGTCTCGAATGGCAAACCGATGGACGCACGCGGCATCTGGAAGAGTGTACAATGTGGGGTTCAACGATCCTCAAGTTCCTGGCAAGGACGATGTCACAGGGGAGCCTTTGATGCAAAGAGATGATGACAGCGAGGCCACATGGAGGAAACGACTCGCCAAATTTGAAGAAACGAGTCAGACTTTGTTAAATTTCTACCGAGAGACGGACTCGAGCCTGGTTGTACAAGTACAGGGAAATAGCAGCGACGAAATCACGCCTCAGATCTTTGCAGAGGTCGAGGGAAGATTTGGATAAGACAATAGAATATAATTTCGACTCTTGCAAGAGAAAACTTCTGTAACCTCGACTGTGATTTTCCAAAGCCCATGGAGCTCAAAATGAACCCTAAGCCCCGGACGCCCAGCCAGAGGTCATGCATGTGTCAATCTGCGCTCGACGCGAAAACAACCTCAGCACGGAAGAATGCTCGAGACTGGCGATGTAAGTAATGCATTTTGTTGTCGGCGGTGGATATTGGAAAAAGAGAAAGATGTCAAGGCAGAAAACAAGGAGGTATTAGTGATAGTGCGAGGCTCAAACAGGAGTGCTTGGCGTGTTTGCTCCAGTGTCATTACGCTCTTATCCTGATACAAGCAACGCAGTATTGCCTTGTGCCTCTACGTGATATTGCTAGCTGTTAGCATACAATAATGTACCCAATTGTAACGAACTCCTCGCTTGTGGGTTATCAAACGAGAGCCACATACTCTGTATTTCGAAGGCAGCAAGTTTCCAAGTTTCAGGAGTTCCTGGAAGTGGCTGGGTCTGATACTTTTCTTTATCTGTTAAAGTTCGAGCTTTTTACATGTGCGCAGGCTCCTTCAGTACCCAGCCATCCCGCCTCCGAGACTCGTTATCATAGAACTCGGAGACTTGGATTGCCGCTCGATTTCTTTTCTCCGCACCAGGCTGCTCTCATCTGAGACCGTGGTGACACCAAGTCACTAACACAACCGGGCTTGCCGACAAGATGCAGCATCCAGCCGGAACCTGGTTGCAGTTTACCGCAGGGTGCTACAAGCCCCTTGCACAGAATCTGTCGAATTCCACCTTGCGCCATTACCCCGGTTCCATTTGGAAGGTGCATGGGCCGACAGTAGAGGGACACGATGGACTTGACACGGGCTGCCAGTTTCGTGACTTGGGGAGGACAGGAAGCGGTAGAGAAGACAAGACATTCGTGTCACATCCAACGAAATGTGGCTTCTCCTCCCGTACCTTTTTTTTTCTTCGGCTAAGACGTCCTAGGGAAGGAAGGATGGCGGTCCACGTTTTGCCCCTTAGCTTTCCCCAGAAGGCGGTCCATCCCCCCGCCCGAGTATCGTGGCTCAAGACAGAGACACTTTGGTCTAATTTTGTAGCAAGCAACAACACCTTCGAGTATGTAGCCAGAGTGCTTTTCTCACCCCCCTTGTCGCCTGTGGGCGGTGAACGCTGGCTGCCTGCCTTTAGTCTTGATTCCTCCTTCGTTGATAGCTTCTTTTCTTCTGCATTGTCACGCCGCGAGGCAAGAATGTGCTGGTGATCAAGTGAGCAAATAGCATAGCTGACTGGAGTCTGGCGTTTTGGGATGGGAAGCTCCGGCTCCATTTAGGCACATCACGATGCACGATCGTCCCTCTGATGCTCATATTAGCATCCCTTGGCCTCCACTGACTCCTCCACTTGGCTCATTCGGCGCCCGCTTCATCGTCATCACTAAGCCCGAAAGGCCTGGAGGTGGCACAAAGGGCGCCTGAGGGAATGCAGCTGGGCGCGAGCCAGGCTGCGGTAGCCCAGCCGTAGTCCGGTAAAAGAGCCAATGAAGCTGATACTTAACTCTGTGACACATCCAGCTGTGGGCAACTGACACACCAGACTCGCTCCGCCCCCCAAGGCTGCTGAAGTCCTTCAGGTCTTGAGGCCAGTCACAAGCCGCCAGGGGGCATCCCGCCGACCAGGGAGGGGCATCGCGGGCTCCATTCTCGCAAGCCACGCCCACCCTTTGCGACGGTTGGCGTCTAACGAGGGCAAAAGGAAAGAATCGTGGTTGACAGGCCGTAAGAATGGGTAGAGGTGGCCGGCATGAGGCGTGAACGAAAAATTCCTGCAGGGCGGGAAGAGAAGTTGTCGGATCTTTCAGAAGTTGATGTCGATTCCAGGTGTATCAAAAAGGCATCACTTTCATTGCTTCAATCAACATTCTTGCGAAAGTACCTCTGCGGATATCAAGCGGACCGTTTAGCATCCCTTAGTTCACCCTCTCCCTCCATTACGCTTCCCTCTCCGCCGGGCTCCATACCTGCTCTCTAACTCCAAAAAAACAACATCACAATCCTGGCCGATCCGCTGCCCGCCCTGATTCTCGTGTTCGCAGCCCAGAGATCAAAGATCGACCGACGAGCTGCTCCTCCCTCGACGTGTCCCTTTCCTGCCTATATCGTCCACTCACCTTGCATCTTACTATCTGCGGATCCAATAGACATCTGATACCTGGTGTCAACGAGCACGGGCCCGAAGCTGGTCCCGTTCAAATTCCTCCCTTACATACTTGACCTTCCAATCCCCGAGTTGTGGATGTTGTCTGCAACACCTTTTCATCCATGAACGGGCAGAGATTGGCGCGCAGGAGTAAAACTGGAGGAACACAATGAGCATCGGGGATGGGAACAAGAGCAGGCCCAGTTGCCTTCTTTCATCTTCAAGTGACTTGAAGTTGTCAAGACGACCACCTACTGCATTTGAGGCAGGCTGACTTGAGCTGTCGCTGCCGCATTTCTACAGACGCCAGAAAAGCAATTCCACACTATTCCTCATCGAAGCTCAAAGGTCACGAACACCCTGGATACGATGCTTACAGCACCTCAACGTTCCCTGAATATGATGGATCCCATCAGAGATCCAAAAATCTATCAACGCCCACCAAATGGTGCGGCTCCTCGACAATATGCCATCCCCGCTAACTCGAGTGCCCTTGGACATGGACGGTCACGTTCTACAGGACTCAGCTATGCTGAACATGAGATGATTAGACATCGGAAGACACCCAATGGCGGGAGGTTGTACGAGCCAGATCCAGCTGCATTAGACAAGAGTGTGCAATTACCCGCGTCAAAGCATCTCATCCTCGCTTCATCGCCAGCATTTCAGCAGCCTACACCTTCCTTCGCCGGCTCGTCACCATGGTTAGACACGAGCCGTTCCCAGCGACCAGACCGTTTTGACGGGACAGATATGGGAAGAGATGGAAGACAAGAAATACATCCTCAGCCATACAGGGCCTCGAAATCATTGCCGTTTCGCCCAGCTTGGGACTTTCCTGGCGGGTTAGATTCCATGCTCAATCAGACGCTGCCAATACAGCCAACACAGAGGTACTATGTCCAACCCGGCTCGAATATCCCCACCGTCCTCCCCGCTACCCTTCAATCCCAATTCGGACCTACCGCATCTGCTGGGCAAGAGTTATATGGGCCGTATTGGCCAGATGGAACATACAATCCCTATCGTCCAGCTGCCATTCGAGACAGTCGTTTCTTTCCACGAGCCCCGACTGAAAGGTTTCCTTTGGATCATCACTTCGACCACTTTCATCCTCTTCGAAAACATGGCCGGTTGCCAGTTGCGCCAAATGACAGTTATCTGCACAATATGTCCCAGCAGATGCTGGGTACGCCTATGGGATTGGTTGAGTCGCCCTCGTCCAAATGGAATCTTCACCAGAATGCTTTCCAGGGCCCACAGTTCCCGTACACTCATCCTTACTCGTTACGTGACCGTGCAATAGCAGACTCGATAGCTCCTGTGACCGGACCAACACTTGTATCTCTTATCCCTGGTCCTCGTTCAGAACGCATTGCCTTCAGAGACAAGACCTTCGCCTGGGCCAACAAAATTTATATGGATCTTCTTCAAACAATCAGGTCTTCTTCCAAGGAACAGCGTTCCGGCACACATGCTGCCTCGGGCATGAGGTCTGCAATGAAACCCGCCATTTTCCCCAAACCACCCGTTAGATCTGGATCACACTTCCAAACGGAGTCGAAGGACCAACCACCGTCTCAGCGGCGGGAGGCCTGTCCCAGCTTTTTGGTAAGTGGCGGCGAACAGTCCGCGTACGAGATTCCATCCCGACCACAGACTGCCATATTCAGAGCGCCCAAAGCGTTGACCGCGCAAGAATTTGGATCGTTTCCGAATCAGATTGAGCCCAAAAATATCTCTCGACAACAGTATGAAGTTGGGCTTCCAACGCATGAGATGAGGCAGGTCAGCACCAGGGTCAACAACGTGCAACAGGTGTCCTTCTTCGAATCGGCAGCTACTGCACTCCAAACCATGGAATTGCTATGTCAAGAAGCGGATGTTCCTTGGGTGGACGGTATGCTGTTGGCAGGGTGTCTGGCTTACGGCCTGGGCAACTACGTCAAAGCTGAGGAATGGTACAGGGCAGTTTTGAGACAAGATCCCAGCCACATTGAAGCCATGTCTAACCTGGCAGCAACCTGCCATGCGCTCCATCGCCGTGAAGATGCGCTTAAGTATTGGTCAGATGCTGTCAGCTTACGACCGAGCTACTTTGAGGCCGTGGAACATCTAATCGGGCTGCTGTGCGCTAGCCATAGGGCCAGGGAAGCTGTCAGTGTGATCGAGTATGTGGAGAATGCACTTCGGGTCCGGGGTGAAGATGCTCATAACTCTTGGGCCGAATTGAGTGACGCAGAAAGCGATACCAAAAGCCACGCTTCGAGTATCAGCACCGTTGCCTCATATGACAACGCTCAGTATGACTACGACACCGATTACAGCCAGAATATCTCGGTCGTATCCGAGTCTCAGCCTCCTGGCTACGGTTCGAGCGGCTATGCAATCGCTGGGGCGGACAATGGACGGATGCTAGCTCTTGTGCATGCCAAAGCAAATATGTTATATGCCCTCGGCCAGAATCACACCGCCGCTACAGCATTCGAGGATGCCATACTAATCTCGACAGGACGCAGGAAGCAAGGGATTAGAGGTCTGATTGATGATATTTTGTCGGCTTGTCTGTGCACCATCCGGGATCGAGAGTATGTCCGAGCAAAGCTTGAGAGCAAGGAACCCATTTTGCTGGCTCCCGAGCACGCTGAAGCAACTGCCAGACACATGTTCCCACCAGAAGGCAATCTTCCTGGTCTAGAATATGTCTCGCCGCCCTTTGCAGTACAGGCTGGAATCTCCACCACCAGTAACTGCCTCCTCTCGCTCGCCAAGATCTATCAGGATGGGATGTCCAATGCGACCGAGATTGGGAGCCTGAAATCTCCGACGACAAGGGAGATCCTCGCCCTGTACTACTTATCCTTGTCTCTGCAGCGGAGTCCTTCAACGGCGAACAATGTGGGAATCCTCCTTGCTAGCGTTCAGCAAAGTGTACATCCCGACCACCTCGCCGATTCGAACTTTTCCCAGATCTCCAACATACCAGGAGTTGTTGCGGGCACCGGCGTGTCGCTGGCGTTGATGTATTACAACTACGGCCTCAATATCGACCAGAAGCATGCTCATCTGTTCACGAACTTGGGCAGCCTGTTGAAAGATATTGGCCAACTTGGCGCTGCAATCAAGATGTACGAGCGGGCGGTAGCATGCGACGGAAGTTTCGACATCGCGCTGGCCAATTTAGCAAACGCCGTCAAGGATCAAGGCCGGGTGTCCGATGCGATTGCCTACTACAAGCGAGCAGTGGCAGCCAACCCTGACTTTGCCGAAGCAGTTTGTGGACTAGCTACGGCCCTGAATTCGGTGTGCAGTTGGGACGGCCGGGGAGGCATTTGCGCAAATGACATCCTGCGCGACAGTGTTCATGTAGACGAGCGAGGAATGAAACAACCTCCGTCGCGGCCACACGGCTGGATCAACCGAGTGGTGGAAATCGTCAAGAAGCAGCTCAAGGAAGGGGAAACTTGGGGATGTGGAACACTAACCCCAGCAGTCATCGACTCATTGGCCTTGCAATTGACCTTGCACAAACAGTCGTCCCGGGACAATGGACGAAATCAAACACTAGACACTGTACGACAAGCACTCCGATACTGGTCCGGACAGAGATGGGAAGGATCCAGGATCGTGCGACTTGTTGAACGCGCGATCCGCCAAATTGGCTGGCAATGGTATCAGGACCGTTATGTACGTCGAAGGGAGTACCCGCCTCGAAAATACGCTCGACCATATCTCCCCAACGCGTTAACTGCGCCATCGGCGCCAACAGTGCTTCCCTTTCATACATTCACGGCACCACTCTCGGCGAAACAGGTTCGACAGATTTCACAACGCAACGCTTTGCGTATCTCTGTCTGTACTCTTCGATCCGCGTGGCTTCCAGCGACCGTTTTTCCACCGCCATCGCCTCCGAATCCTTTTCTGAATGTGGGCTATGTCAGCTCCGACTTTAACAATCATCCTTTGGCGCACTTGATGCAATCCGTCTTCGGGCTGCATGACCCATCGCGAGTGAGAGCCATATGCTACGCTACAACTGCCTCGGATGGCTCTATCCACCGTCAACAGATTGAACGTGAAGCACCAATCTTCCACGATGCGTCATCGTGGAGCGTGGAACGTCTTGTCAACCAAGTTGTGAAGGACAATGTCCACATTTTGGTCAACCTCAATGGGTATACTCGAGGCGCACGAAACGAAGTGTTTGCCGCCCGGCCTGCACCTATCCATATGTCTTTCATGGGTTTCGCTGGCACACTGGGAGCTGAATGGTGCGACTACGTGTTTGCAGACACGATCTCCGTGCCGCCGGACACACTTTCGCCGTGGCGACGGAATGTGGATATTGAAGATCGCCTTCGGGCGGACTCGTTGGTGGAGGACGTCGAGGACTGGGTGTACTCTGAAAACGTCATCTTTGCCCGCGACACGTTCTTTTGTGTCGACCATAAGCAAAGTGCGCCGGATGCCGAGAGTGGCCCTCCCAACAACAAGGATCCCGCCATACGTGGAGCAGCTTGGGAGCGCGAACAAGACAAGCGCTGGAAGCTGAGGAAAGAGTTGTTTCCAAACCTATCCGACTCAGCCGTCATTTTGGGCAACTTCAACCAGTTGTACAAGATCGATCCAGCCACATTCGACATGTATCTCCAGATCCTCAAGGGAGTTCCCAATGCAATATTATGGCTGTTGCGTTTCCCGGATCTGGGGGAGCACAACCTCAAGCGCTACGCAGAGAAATGGGCCGGCAAGCAAGTTGCTGATCGAATCGTGTTTACCGACGTGGCTGCCAAAGGGACTCACATTACACGAGCCGCCGTCGTGGATCTCTTCCTCGACACACCCGAGTGTAATGCGCATACCACTGCTGCCGACACAGTGTGGTCTGGCACGCCGATTGTGACGTGGGGCAAATGGAAATATAAGATGTGCAGTCGGATGGCGGGAAGCATTGTAGCTAGTGCACTACCAGAAGGGCGCGAAGGCGATGAAGCGCGGAGAGATCTGCTGGTTCGCAGCGAGAAGCAATACATTGACACAGCGATTGATCTCGCCCTCGACCTCAAATACCCATCGTCCGAGTCGAATGGGCAGAGAATGGGGCGTGGCCGGGGGAGATTGGTGGAGTTGCGGCGCATGTTATGGGAAGGACGGTGGTCCAGTCGGTTGTTCGACACGAGGCGATGGGTGAGGGATTTGGAAATGGCATATTGGTCTGCTTGGAGGAAGTGGGAGAAAGGCGAAGGTGGTGACATATGGTTATGAGGGAGACGAATGAGAGTGAGCTCTCAACGTGCTTTTTTTTTTCTCATGCAAGACTGAGCGGGCGATTTTACCAGGGATGTTGCTTCGCATGCAAGCGAGCTGGCGTGTTGCGGGTGGAATGGGCTGGGATGATTCTGAGACTTGTCACAAAGAACAGGCAGGGCGCCGAAAAAAAGTTGTCCACAATGCGAAGGACGTGTACGGGTGTCAGGGACTCAGGGACGGACGGACACACAGACAGACATGCACGATATGGGGTTTTTCTTCTTGCTTGATTCCTTTTCTTGTGTTAGGGCGGGAGTGTCTGATCAGGCTCAGCGGGCTGGATGGATGGAAGGATTAGGGAATGTCCAAGCCATCCGATCATCACACGGGATATGAAAGATAACTCTTTTTTTTTGACGACGTCTACGAAATGAGAAAGGACCAGCTTCGAGTATTTGGTGAGCTGGGGTTCTTGAGATCTTGAGTTCTGTGTTCCAGACATAAGGATGTAAGACTCCCGTCTATATCGCGATGAGGATACTGCGCATACCGAGTAACAAGTATGAGTATCGCTTGCTTTCCTCCTTTTCTCTTGTGGCGATGTATACTATATACATATATACCTAGCCAGGTACGTACGTACGTACATGTGTTCATTCATGCCGGGGGTTTCTTCTCTTCTCCTCTTCTCTTTATAACTTTTGCTTTCATCTCCTCTTTTTCCTCCCTCACTTCCCTCCTACATCCCGCCTCGTGCCTCGGGTCCCCCTTGAACCTTTAGCCCTTCCCTACCTGTGCCCCTATTCGTCCGTGGATGATGGATGTATGGGCGCAGGAACGCAGAACTCAGAACGCAGAGAAGAGACGAATGCTTGCAAAAGAGGAAGAGTAGAAAGGGGAAAAAAGAGAAAGAGAGGGAGGGTGCGAGAGATCATTGACATCTCTTCTGTTTCTGGTCCTCGTCCTCGTCCTACCTGTAGAGCTGGCTAGCCTGACCCGAGCTCATCCTGACCCGCTAAGTTGCACAAGGCATTGAGGCATTAAGGTATTGGAGACCCTGCAGGAAACTCGAAAAGAAGAAGGAGCCCCTTGAGTCACCGTGCCAGAACTTGTCGGTCGTCAGGGACTGGACTTGAATTTCAAGCCCATCCTCTCATTACTTTCAGATCAGGTCTGCTTGCCGCCTCTTCTTCCGGACGCTCTCCTCTCGACGCTCTTCTTCCTCTTGTTTGTTTTTTTGGCAAGATAGATATCTGCGTACTCGAGTGTCGAGTGTCGAGTGTCGAGTGACCGAGGCACGTTGATGTACTTGTACGGACAGCTGCCATGGAGCTATATTCGGAGTAGGTAAGCAAGTAGGAGAGGCTCATCTGATCGCATCGCATCGCATCGCATCTCATATTGGAAGATGGGCATTCCAAAGGGAGACATTGGGTCAGGTATTGACAGAATAGGATGATGTACTCGGTAAATCACGACCAGACCCGACCGGACACGACAAGGCCGATTGATCTATAGGAAATGCTCGACAAGTCGTACCTGGCTTGACATGACATGACATGACATGAAAAAAAAAAAGGATGTGGCAGTCTATCTAGGGCAGGGCAGGGTAGAGCAGAGGCGTAGCAAGCAAGCAAGGGACGGTGACGGGGAGAAAGAAAGCAAATGGATCAAAGCGAGGCAAGAAAACGCGATAGTTCTCACCTCCTCCTACCCTCCCGGCATGGACCAACAAGTTAAGTATTCACTTGTATCGCATACAAGTAAACGTCTCAAAAGGGTGCGAAGCCGAAGACGGGTACCCGACTTGGTAGTAGTAGTGGTGCAAGTAGAGAACCAGCAGAGGTTGTCAATGCTGGATGGATGGATTGATGGATTGATGGGCTGTTTGTTCTCCTCTCCCTCCCCTTCCCCTCCTTCGTCACCATCGTCCATGACGAGAGGAAAGTGCCACAACATAGCATGGCATGGCATGGCATGGCATGGCAACTATGCTATACCATGCCATGCTAGAGAAGGTAGTCCGGAATCCTTTCCCACCTTCCTCACCACTCCCTAAAGCTTCTTCCGTTAGCGAGTCGGCGGCGGAAAGCTAGGAGACGACGTTTGTACTTGCAACAGTAAACTGCGGAACAAAGCAGGAGATGTCTCGGACATGAATCGCATTCGACTCGGGTCCGGGTTTTTGCTCTTCTTCCCTCCCCAGTAACCAAGTAGGACCTACCTACCTACCTAAAAAACAAGTCAACATTTACTTATTTTAGGTAGGTAAAGAGAGACCCAGCTCCGCCCATTCCCATTTGTCTTGCCCTTGGTGCCCTTAATGGGCCTTTGGGTCTGTGCCGTGTGCGGGTCTCGTCCTTACTTGTTCCTTGTAACAAGTACCTACAGGTAAGTACCTTTTTTTGCTTTGCTAAAGGGGGTGAGGGGACAATGGTTAGTGTAGCATAGCATAGCATAGCAACCAACGCAAGTCCGTCATCGAGAGAGGGTGATGCTGGAGTCGGTCGATTCGATTCGATGCGATGCGATCAATGATTAAGCCGGTAGTGGAGCAAAGAGGGAGTGATGAGTGAGTGACTGAGACAAGGTCGAGCAAGATTAATCACAACACAACACAAAGCCTGTCTTTCTCCGTCTCCGTCTCTCCCATGGCACGGGTCCATCCATCCATCACTCACTCAATCCAGCCAGGTTGGTTGGGCGTGTTTACTCGTCCTCTGGCCATCTCGCCATCCCGCCATCGTGATGTGACACTCGTACCTGATACCTGATATCCACCAACCACCGGTGCTGACTGGGCGAAGGAGGAACAAACAAACGTTGGCAAATAAACTTGCAAGTTCCGCGTCCGCGTCCGCATCTGCGTCCGGTACAAGTGCCATATGCATGCACTGTAATATGTAGGCACTGTATGCACTGTACCTTGAAAAACGTCTTTGTTGGGCGTTTGGGCGTTGGCCGTTGACAGTTCCTTGTTTTTTCGAAGCCCTATACGGGGACAGTGGCAGAGTGGATAGCAGTGGATGGAGGTTTGGCGGTTGCGATTATTGAATGCAAGGCAATGCAAGGCAACGCAAGGAAGGCATGGCAAAGTTCTGACTTCTGACCAGTAGGGACTACAGTTCCAAGTAGTGACTGGTTGACTACTAGGGACTAGGTAAGGTAAGGCAAGGGAGGGAGGGGCGTCTGTCTAGACTGTCCGTTGCGTCTCCAAAGGCAAGGACGTCTCTACCTGCCTTGCTGTTGGTTGGTTGGTTGGTTGGTTGACTCTCGTGCACGGAGTACCTGGTCTGGTCTGGTTTGGTGGGTGGCTCTGACGGCGGCCCTGGTTCAGCTGAAAAGGATCTGCAAGGTGCCGAATCTAGACTAACCGCCCCCCTCTCCCTCCATTCTTCCATCCCCTCCAATGCCATACAAGGTCTGGTCTGGTCTGTGCAGCGCAGTACCCTACACATCTGCATGCACGCCTTCACGCCTTCACTCACGCACGCACGCATGCATATCCGAGGACCGACCAAATAGGAAGCAACGACACCGAAAAAGATACCTCTAACAAAACGAGATCGACCGATCTGGACTTGAGGAGTTTACTTTGGGCTTGATTAAGCGGTAAGCAGGCGAGAAGCGAGTTGTGGGAGGCCTAGTAGGGTAGTAAAGTATTCGTGGTTTAGTCCCTTTGCGAGATACAACTCTTCGCGGTCGGCAGGTAGCGGTGTATGCCCACAGCTCGCACGTCTCAAGCCTCCCAAGTCTCGAAATGGTTCCCAAGAAATATACTCTAGCTCTTTTCCAAGCCCTTACCTGCCTTTGGTGGACATATTATTAGGTACGAGGTATGTAGGAACAAGCCAATCTCGTATCGACGTTGATAACCGTCTCGCCGACAGAGATCCACAAAAGAGCGGAGTTTTGCTTGGATGGAGTGTTACACAAAGGTCTCCTTCGCAGGTACGGGCCCTGGAGAGAGTCGCATCAAGGGCAAACCCAAGGACCAATCATAAAGTGTCTGGTTGCGATTTATTGTTTCAACGCCTTTTTTTTGGCGACGACAGTTGTTCCCCGTCATTTATTGCTCGTCATGCTCAATCATAGGTCTTGTGTCGGGGTGTCTGGGTCTCGACCTAGTCTGCATCTGCCCGCCACCACCACCGTCACCAAGTCGAAGAGGAAGGTGGAAGAAGAGCGTAGAAGAGGGATCGACACACTCCCAACGGCCCAAGGGGGAGTTTCGTGCCAGAGGCTTTTCCAATGTGTAGCAGAACTTGTAGGATTGTCGAGATACCCGAGCTGACGCTTCGAGGACGATTGACTTCTTCGGATGCCGGAGTGCGGTGGGGACCATGTACGAGTATGGAGTAAAACTCGTATGCAGGGAGGAGCGACGAGCAAAGACGGCCAGGGCTAAGCTTCGCAGGCAGTTGGTGATTGAACGGGCATGCACCAAGCTAGTTGCAGTTGCGACGAAGAAAAAGCTCAACGACTTGAAACACTTCTGGTCAAAGTGGCCTTGTGATCAAACGATGTCGAGGGATGATGGGGAATGATGCGGATGGTAGTTACCGCTCTTTGCTCTCTGTGCCTTCGCTGACTGGCCGCGGCATTGAGGGAGCTTTCCACCTCGAAAGCATGGCGCAATGACTGGTGCCCAACATTCAGCAAAGTCCTTTGGAGTGTGTACATGTCGCCTTTGGCCTGGAATCAGCCATGATTGACCTCTCCCCCATCGATGACTCCCACATATCCATCCCTGTGTCCAGATAGGTGCTCTTGTTCCATGACAGCCGGTTGGAGCAAACGACAGAGTTTCAAGTAAGAAAAAGCGGGAAAGGGAAAGTCTCGCCATCCAGCTAGGTTGATGGCTGCGTGACGGCACGGTAAGTCCCACCGTTTTTGGCATCCACTTTTCTTGACAGGTTATTACCTTTTCTCCCCCTCCTTCTGTGGCCCGTTTTTTTGGCTGACAGCGGTAACGAATGCCCATGTAGAGGAGGGACTTGTCGGTGGGCACGATTGGGGGGTGGCAAATGTTGGAAATATTGGTGGTGAATTGACCAGTTTTGGACATCCGAAGACTTGATTTCTCAAATAGTCCCAAACGCTCCACGCGCAGATATTTGCTCTCCCACTGTACGACACGGGGCGGGTGGCTTGAGATCTTGACTGGACGGCAAGCAGTGTTGAATCTTGGTTGCTTCCAGTCGTCAGTCACACAGCATCTTTCATCCAGACCTTGTCAGCTAGTCGTTAGGTGTGCTTGTGGATGGAACGGTTTGGCTCAACGGGTGAAGGGGGGAGGGCCCAAGGGGGTGGCCAAATAGGACATGCATCTCCACTAATGACAAGGGGATAGAGAAGGGCTGCAGCAGCAGCATGGACTTTGGCAGAGCCATGCCTGTCCTATTTTCGGGGAGTAGCAGGAAATGCCCTGGTCTCCTTGTCGTCAATTCTTGCCGCTGCCGTGAGCCGAAGTCGAAAGGAGGCCTTTTCTTACTGGGTCGCTAAATCCTATGGGACGAGTGAGGCGGCAGCGTCACTGGCGAAAGCACCTTTTGTAGTAATGTTGAGACTGCCTGAAATGTGTTGGCAAGGACTAAGTCTACGAGGTAATTGTCGCCACTTGGGTGAGAAGGAAGGATCAATAGAGTATGCAAAACGGGGAGATTCCAATGAACAAGGACTGGGGGGGAGTTTTCAGTCAGATACCAACAAGGAAGACACTTTAGGTACATACTTGTACCGAGTCGAGTAAGCTCGTCCAAGCGTAAAAAACAATTTTACTTGCAAGTATTACGAGCGGAGGTACAAGGGGGCACCTCCTCCTCCTTTCAATCCAATATTGAATAATGATGATGTTCTAGCGAATCGGCTCGTGCATGTTTGTTTCGTGAA